ATAACAATGTTATATTTATAATATATATATGATATATCATATAATTATATAGCTAATTATATAGTAACTATATTATATAATATAATTTTGTGTGTGTGTGTGTTGTGTGTGTGTGTGTGTTAGTGTTTTGTTTGTATTGTGTGTGTGGTGTGTGGTGTGTGGTGTGTGTTTGTGTGTGTGTTATGTAAATTGTACACACACGCGCACGCACGCACACCAACACACACACAGCACACACAACAGCACACACACACACAGCACAACACACACACACACACACACACAAACACACACACCATACACACACACACACACACACACCACACAACAATTTATGCATATGTATGTACGTATGTGTGTATCCGAATGGAAATGACGCAAACGAACCGAAAAAAACAAAAGGCGCCTCTCACAGAGACATGCAGATACACAGGTTACAAGGCGAGAAAAAAGTGACAGACATAGAAAGAGACAAACAGAGAGAGACAGAGACAAATATACGAAAATGGAGAGAAAGACAAAGAGTAAAGCTCGCTGCATAAAAGAAATGGAAAATGAAACGAGCTGAAAGCGAATAAAGAACGACAGGAATGTCAGGGAGATTTATACAGAGGCGGAAATTATGCATTACGCACTGGAACGGGGAAGGGCAATATTACATATCTGCATGGTAATTTCACATATATTATATATAGCTTATAGGTATAATATATATATATATATATATATATATATAATATAAGTTATTAGTACTATATACATATTATATATATATATATATGTATATATATGTAGGTATTATATATATATATATAATATTATAGTATAATATATATAGTAGTATATTATATATAGTATATATATATATTATATATATATTATAATATAGTTATATTATATATATATATATATATATAGTAGGCTATATATAGTGGTTATTATTATATATTATATGTGATGGTATTATATATATATGTATATATATATATGGTATATATTATATAGTATATATATACTATATATATTATATTATATATATGTATATATATATATATATATATATATATTATATATATATATATATATATATAGTATATATATATATATATATATATATATATATATATATATATATAATATATATAGTAGTATATAAATTATATTATGTATGTGTTATGTATATGAATACGTTTATACAGATACACATACACACACACACACACACACACACACACACACACACACACACACATATTATATATATATATAGTATATATATATATTTATATATATTATATATATAATATATATATATATATGTGTGTGTGTGTGTGTGTGTGTGTGTATGTGTGTGTGTGTTATTTTTTTTCCAGGTAAACAATGATATTGTTTGGCTTGCCCAGAGACCCATCATGTGTGTAAGGGTAATGCGGTCCACAGGGCATGCAGTGGTTCAGTTCAGGAAAATTTTTAACTCATTCAATTAATGAAACAAGGTCAACACTGAGTCAGACGAATGAATCTAATACTTACTTAGTTTTGGACAAAGGCCAGGCCTGTTAATTAGGACCAAGTCCTGGAGTTACAGTTGTGGGAAAATCTCCCACAACTCGACCACCAAGCCGTAACATTCTTCCACCAACACTACTTGATAAATTTTTTTTTTTTTTTGGAAAGACAAACACAATATAGATCTGCCTATTTCGATCGGCTGCTTTCTCTCTCTCTCTCTCTCTCTCTCTTCCTGACTTTTTCGATCGGCTCGCTTCTCTCTCTATCTCTTTCTCTTTTTCCTTCTTTCTCCCTACAGTCAATGCTTTGCCATGGACCTTCAAATGCAGCCAGGGTTTGCCACTTACACACTTACCAGCTTCCTAATTTTTTGATCCATTTAAATTTTAGTCGAATACCTCTCAGTGCCATCTATTGTGGTAACTTCTGATCAGCTTAAAATTATTTGATTGGCTGGAAATAGGAAAAAAAAAACATGAGAGAGATAAGCACGCAACTTTATTACTTGTCTCAAATCATAATGTATCCCTTTCTCTCTCTCTCTCTTTTTTTTCACTATCTTTTCCAATTATCTCTATCAGCCCATTGTTGACTTCACCAACTCACTACCACTCAATATGTAGACAAGGAGCCATGCAGACAAAACCATGCAGGTTGACAAGGCGTCTGTGCATTTACCAGTCTACCGAGAGAGAGAGAGAGAGACATCAGTCAGCGAGCGAGGAAGAGAAAGAGAGACAGGAGGAACTCATAATGGCTTCATTGGATCCAGTACTCTCGTGGTCATAGGGCCAAGACCGCAGACAAGCAATGGGTTGGTGTTTTATTTGAAAGGTGGTTTCATGCTAGGGAGTAAAAAGGAATCTATTTTTCGTAAATTTTTTCCTGAACTGAACCATTGCACACTCCGTGGACCACATTACCCTTACACACATTGCGGGTCCCCAGGTAAACTATTGTTTTTGGGTGGTTATAATCTTGGAATTCTGTAATTGGGGCTGTGAACTGTAAAATCATATGCATTACAATGGCTGAATATATATGGGTAAAAGGAAGGGATAACCACTCACGCATCTAACTGAGCAGTTTTCACTGCACAATCAGCCTAGTCATTGTGACCCTAGGATGTCGTCTACACCATCCCTATTGGACTGTTTTTTTTTTTTTTTTTTGTTTTTTTTTTTTGACTCTGGCCTAGACAACTGACCAAAAACTGTATTCAATGTAATTGCTCTGATCAATTGCAAATTTAAGACACTGATGGTAGTGGATAATTAGTGGACTGCACTAAAGGCATTGCAGCTAGAGGGAAGGTGTCCCGCCTACCACGGGAGTATATGTTTTGACAGAAGCTCGACCACAAACCATACCAGTATAAAAAAAAAAAAAAAAAATAGTAGTATGATTTTTTACAAAGACAGACAGAGATTGGATCATAGGTAATAATAACTATCAGTGAGGCAGTTTATTATATATATATATTATATATATATATATTTTATATATATATAGTATGATATTTTCATGCTAGTAGAATTCGTGGTCGAGCTTCTTTAGTCCTGTTTTGTAAGTACGAGCTGTCTGTCATCGGTCGTAGAGTCTGTCATCTTTTTGAAGGTAGATGTCATACACTTTTACTGAAAAAATAGATATGTTCAAAAGAGGGTTGGGTAGGTGTTTAACATGAAACTACACAAAGGATTTTAACAAGTGCACACTACATGATTGAACATATAGTAATTATGATAACAATAATAATCTAAAAAGAAAGAAAGAGAAAGAGAGAGAAACGTTTTCGTCATCTGTGCGTCTGGCACCACAAATGCAAATTGGGACAGTCACTATAGTTGCACTGCAGTTAATGTAGGACATTTTTGCGGAGGGTTTGGATCAGTTTGCTTGTGCAAGTGCTGTGTTTTGTGTGTGTGTGTGTGAACTCTCTCTTTCTCCTCCCCTCCTCTCTCTCATTCACTCACTCTCTCCCTCTCTCTCTATCCGTTGCGTTTGCAGCTTCAGGATTTTATTGATTCGGGCATGATGTGATTGATTGAGTAGTCGTGGTCGGATTGGGGGTGTGGGATTAGCGGGCCGTTTAAGGGGCAGTGGGTGTAGCCACTGTTATTATCAGCGGTATGTCACAACATGCATATATCACCCTTCCCGGAGGGCCAATTCCACACGCGTACATCATCCCTTCCCGAAGCGCGTATATCTGCTCATAGGTGTTGACATACATAGAACTCGCCGTGTCCCTTGTGCTGACGTTCACTTAACAAGAAGGAAATGGGCCTCACAGAGGGGGCTCGTCGCCGGTCTATGGATCAGTTTCAAAGTTAGTACCGACCCAACGACATGTTTTAAAGGATTGATCTAAGGACCAAATATAGAACATCTAGTAGAGGTCCTGACTGTTCCCGTTATGCGTATGTATTTGTACACTCATGTATAGATGTTAACATGTACCTATTAA